GGGTGACCTTTCGGGAAGTTTGACCACGGAGTGCGATTTGACCTGAGATTAAGCATATTGACCCGAGATTAAGCCATAGTGAACTGAGATTAAGAAATAAACGAAAAAAAATTAAAAAAAATCTGATTTATTTTTGAAAAAATATTGTTACTAATGGCGCACTTCTATGTGGTGCGCCATTAGTATACCAGATACTAATGGCGCACCGTGGGCTATTCTAATGGCGCACCAGCGGTGCGCCATTAGTATACCAGATACTAATGGCGTACCACAGGTGCGCCATTAGGAAAAAAATCTAATGGCGTGGTGCTAGTGGCGCACCTGTAGTGCGCCATTAGTAGCGAAAACAGGTGCGCCACTAGCAGCCCTGTTTCTAGTAGTGTTGTACCGCAAGTTGTGTCGAGGGACGACACACCATGCGATCGCAGGTTTGTGGAAAGCGCGATTGCCCCTAAAAATCAAGCTATTTATGTGGCAATTATTCCGCGACAAGCTGCCCACCTCCATTAATGTGGCAAAGCGCAACAGTCCGGCCACGGGATCGTGTGCGCTGTGTGGGGCTCCTGAGGATGCCTCCCATGTGTTTTTCTCATGTTCTGTTGCAAGATTTGCATGGAGTGCGGTTCGGACCACGGCAGGCGTCCAATGGGACCCTAGATCGGCTGCGGAGTTGTCCCAACTTCTAGGCTCGATCCATGGTCGTTCAAAACGGGTTATGTGGAGCTGTGTTGGGGCACTCCTCTGGGCGATGTGGCTAATTAGGAACAAATTCACTATTCAGGGTATCTTCCATTCGCATCCGGCTAACATTATTTTCAAGTGTAACCTTCTCTTGCAGCAGTGGAGTCCGTTGGGGAGGCGCAGGGATGCTGAGATGCTCAAGACCGCCCAACAACGACTGATGCAAGTTTACATGATGGCTAGGGAGCCTTGACCAGGACGAGTGTCCTAGGTCCCTTTTGATGCTTGACGAGCCTGCGTGCTATGTACGGGCGCTGCCCTGTAATCCGTTAGTAGTTTGTCAAGACGCACCTGAACTTCGTTTGTCGATCCTTTTGCGTTTGGCCGGACGGCCTGTGTCGTGGTACTAAGACTTGTTGTGTTGTTGCTACTCTGCCTGTTGTGGCTTTATTAATTTAAAGCCGGACGCATCTGGCGTCTTTGTTCTAAAAAATATGTTGAATGGCTCATTAAGAGTGCATAAAAAAAAGTCGGTTGGTGTTGGTATATAAGTTGGTTTTTTATTATTTATGCCATTAGTTGTGTCTTACTACTCACTTTTGCCATTAGAAATTATTACTACTCAAAAATGCCATTGTTTCGTGAGATGCTTGCTCAAAGATGCCATTAGACACCATTATTGTCAGCTCAAATCTCGTTTGCCATGTATGGTGTGGTTGCTTTTTTTTAGGTTGTTTATGCTGACAACATTTATCATAGATCAACTACATAAGATATTTTTCCACGGAAAGATCTTCATAAACAATGGCGTTGTATTCAATCCATGTGATTGAATGAAATAAATAGAGAAGAGCAACATGGTTGCTTGGCTGGTCCTAACATGGATATACGATGGACTCTCTTCTATAATCGGACTCTATGCTTTATTAAGAAGAATAGTCATTTAGTCGTAAGGGTGGAAGATAATCCATCATATTCGGTATTCGTATTCGACAAAAATGTTCCAGGACCTTCCGGACTCTTTTGGAAGCTTCTGTGATATTCCAGGAGCTTCCAAGACATTCGCGGGTATCACTGGGACACTCCTCGGACCTCCCGGCGGAGCTCATTCTCTCATTGTCCATTATCTCCTAGTCCCCCTACATAATGTTACTCGTTAATCGTGTGACTCTATAGGTTCGATAATATGGGGACATGTTCAGAACACCTTCCGGTCACTAATTATTAACAGAATCAAGACACCTATAATAATTCCCGCGTAGCAACAAAGATCTTTTCGAGCGAACCTTTTGTTATCTCACACGATTCCCTTTACTTTAGGATACATTACAAAATCCGAGGCGAAACTTTTAGGATTTATACCACCGTGATCAACACTTTGATCACTATACCTAGTTAAGTTGTTAATGGTTTGTATTCTTTTCTCATTTCAGTATTTTGATGTCCACATGACTAACCACTTAGTCACTATCCTTGGCAAAGGGGTGATGGACATCGATATACCAAGTGATCCCATAGTGTATCTCTCCATCACTGAAGTAGAAAATCCCAATCTTGACATACCGAACACCACAACATACTTTTCCGATATACCCGAAAGTCACCTTTATAATCACCCAGTTATAGAGTGATGGTTGGTAACCCCGAAGTAACCATTCGGCATCTGGGTTTATGATATTCTCATGGTCACATGACACAAGTAAATGTTAATACTTTATACGAAAATACCGACAATATGTTGACGACGTGATCTCGCGGTATGTCATAAGTTGGGTCTATCCAACACCATTGTTACTCTAATAATGTGTTCTCATTATTGCCAGCATCCTAGTTACATTAACAATGCTCATGTTTACAAAAGCATAACCATCAACAATACATGAGCTAGTCGAGAGGCCTGACTAGGATCTTATTGATGTTTATATTTCCACACATACAAATAGGTATCCTTTCGAATCTGACATTCAAGAACTACTGCAACTATAGCACAAAAATATAAACTTAATTATGAACATGGAAATAGAATCATAACAACTTTATTACTGCATCTAGGGCATATTTTCAACATCCGTAACAAATGCTATATCTCTAGGGACCCTAGTACAATATTACTATCTTGTGTTGAAGGCGGAGTAGTAATATCGTATTTAGGAATTCAAGTAATGCCCTGTTATGAATTGTTTTCTAGCAAGATTGGGTCGGTCATGATTATCATGATTTATAAAGTTCTGATGTTCTTGATCTATTTTGGTACTATTATGAAGATTCGCTGGTTGGGATCTATCGATATACTATTGTGATCTATCGGTTGTGATACGTCTAGCCGTTTTACCTACTAAAGAAATAAAAATCATTATCAAAGGTAAAGATATGAAAAGAGGAAGAAGTCAAACTATAAGAAAAAATCCCTTATGAAAATATATCGGCTCTAATTTATTTATAAAAGGATGGCCTGCTACTTTAGGGCTAGGCATTTTGCATTTTTGTGAGGTTTTCTAGTACATGTTGCATGGGCAACTCCACTGCAATGAATGATGTTGTTGAATTCTGTTAATATATGATGTAGCTTATTGATCTCATGATATTTCTAAGATGCTATTTAAATTGATCAACCAATGAGTTTTTTTAGGCTATGCAAAACAAGCATCCTGGCAAGCACAACTCTTTTTTTTTAACACACCAAGCACAACTCTCAAATTACTTGTTGTGTGGAACCACCTCTTCACATGCGTACATTTTGTATTTGATAATGCTAAGTTGCTAATTCACTCACCTTAGAAATTAGGTGTCAAGGATAAACATTATATATTTGAGTTATTCAATTATTGATTATGTGTGACATTAATTGGTTGAAAACCCAATGTTGACTCCGTCTTTGTGATGTCCTAAGGTGTCACCACCAAATTAACTAGCTTGAACTACACGCTTACGGGTACTGCACTTTTTTCTGCGATAGTTTGTATTTCCAAGTTCGAACTACTTATCTTCTTGTTTCCTTTAACCTTATTTGTGTGTTCTTCGTTCAAGTTGCATTACCCATGCTTTAGCTTTAGTACAAGTCCTTAATTAATATATCGAAGGGGGTGAAAATACATGTGCAGGTTTTCAAAGCCGAGAGGTGAGGTTGAGCCGCCAATGGTGCGTGGAAAGGCTGGTGGGACCAGGTTATGAAAGTCTATACTGGTAAGCTCTTTTGTGTTTCTCATAATGCCTTAGCATATTCTTCCCTCTTTTCTCATACTGTGATTTTAGTGTACAAACTGATGGCGGACTCCGAAAAATATTCTTACATCATGCCAACAGTTACCTAGCTCAATATATGCATACATTTCTTACTGCAGTATGAGGTCAGAATACAGAATGTGCAGATTGTTCGATACAGTCAAGTCAACTGGAAGGCTGATAAGAAGCAGTTTATACTCATGGTTACAGATATCTTCAGAGAGTATAGAGTTCCAGAAGAGGTTGATGAGTAGCTCTCTTCCATCAACAATGGCATCTGAGTCGATTACAATGTGTGGAAGAACCACATCTACACAGGATGTAGTGCCGCGTTTCGCATCATCTTGCTTGACAACAGCTAGGGATGCGACAGAGAACGGAAGAAAAATGGTTCAGATTTCTCTGTGTGCTAAAGGTTGATCTCCGAGTGATGGCGGTCATTGACATGGACCATACGCACCAATGGCACGATTCCATCTCTGCAAGGTTCCAAGCAATTCAAAAATGACCGTAGCTGTGAACAAAAACTCAGTACCCCTAGCGGCAGCAATCAGGATTCAGTGGTTAATGGGACACCCAAGTTTCTTCACCTCCAGAGAGAAAGTTTCTGCAAGTGCATATGCTACAGTTTAAAACACATCACTCAAACAAAGATAAAATTGCACAACCAAATACATCCCATTGAGATAATTCATAAGATTTGAAGTGGACACCATCATACTACTTAAAAATTCACAACTAGACCATACATAACATATCACTAGGATAAAGATAAACAGAACCAGGCTGCGTTGTTCATCATACAAATTAAGAACTTAAGTCTGCATGATAAAATATCACTAGGGTAAAGATGGGCAGCGCCCAGGCTGGGTTGATCGCAAAGCTTCAGCACTAGGGGTAAAGATGGGCAGCGCCCAGGCTGGGTTGATCGCAAAGCTTCAGCACTGGGGGTAAAGATGGGCAGCGCCCGGGCTGGGTTGATCGCAAGGCTTCAGCAGAACAACATACTAGAATCTCCAAAACAGTGGAGCAAACCCCGCTAGATTGGTCACACAGCTCCAGCATGGAAAACCCACGTCGAACGCCATTGGCCGCCATCATGTGCAGGTGCTGCAGTCTGAGACATCAATGGCGTGATCCTCCCATTTCTCATGTTGTACACACCAGCCGTAAAATGGATTCGGAGAAAACTTTGGAGGAGGGTGGTAAAAAATGAAGTAGATGCAATCCTCTTGGGATCCACAGCATTCTGTAGCAGGCAGAGACTTGGAGCCATGCTGGCCAACAAAGAGAGCATGGCCACCCAACTCACTGATCCTTCTCCACTGGCAAGGGTTAGAGTGCAAGTCTGCCTTCAGGACATCAAATCCAGCAGTCTGGGTATTTCCAAAGGGATCATCCCTGGGAAAAGGGCCCATGACACGAATAAATCGTTTCACCACCAACAGTCCACCACCACATTCAACTAGATAGAACTTGAGCATATATATCTTCTTTCTGGGAAAGCATTCTGGCATATCAAGAAAATCACCATAATCGTCAATTATGGATTTGATGTTTGAATTGCTACCAAGATTCTTGCAGAACTCAAGGATGTAGAGCTTGCCACTGCCTGATAACACGTACAACTTTCCATCCAAGAATGCAACATCCAATAGGCCCGGTAATGGTCGCATGTTGAATCTGAACGAGCAAGTGACAATCGGTGGCTGGCTCACACAAAGTGTTTTCATAATCCCATCACCAATGATCAATGCCGCAACAAGTGAATCTGGTGATGAATCCAGGGGCGAGGGTGCCACCAACTTGTACAAAAATTGTTCAGGATTAGATTGGTAGTGAACCTCACGCTGCCGAACTGTGGCAAGGTTGGGAAGCTCCAACATGCTCTTGGAGAAAGGGTTCATCAATGTGCACTCATCATCACTGTGAATGAGGAATAGCCAGTTATCAATTGAGCCACGACAACTAGCACCATTTGGTACAGGCATGCGGTGAACCTCACTACCTGGGATGCTGAAAAAAGTACCATTAGGGAGGGTGAGCCATGGGAATGGGAGGGGAAGCGGTTGCTGCAGACTATTAGAGCGCCATGGGTGACAGACTGCCCTCAGACGAACACGGTCAGCTAGGGAGGGGAGGCGGCTGAGGACAAGGCCCAAGAGTTCTGGCTGAAGATCCGACCAAGGTCGACCCTGTGCAGCCTCCATCATGCAAGTCTACAAGACAAGACAGAGGATTCTTTGTTAAACAGAGTTAAAAAGATACAACAACTAACAGCACATGTGCTTATCGTAGTATTCTAAGACCAAAGGTCATCAGCTAAATTTTGTAAGAAAACTGAAGGAGTTCAGAGTGAAATGAGAATATGAAGATGCAAGGGAAACCATCAACCCACCAGACAGAAATAAAGTAGTGCTACTACATTTGCCAAACCGCCTAACCTCGCACTACATATATATGTTTCTTGCACTTGGTAACAACAGCTGCAGTATGGGCCAAGTAGTAACTGCAACTAAGCTTAGACAGTTCGCTGTGCGATTTTTTTAGTTGATGAGGTGCATGACTAGAACAGAAAAGAAGATCCTTTGGTTGCCACCTTATTTCTAGACTAGAAACACTAACAGCAGCAGAGTATAACAAGCTGTGAAGGAATTGTGTACTTGATTTCTCATGTGCAATGGCCCAACATAAGTGACCCAGTCAACAGCAAACACTCATTTTTCGTTTTTTTTTCTATTAATATAGACTAAGGTCTGAGGGCATTCTATTAAGTATAAAAATTATGCAGAAAAAGATGTGGCATCTTATTAAGTGCATACTAAACTAATGGCTTCACATCGGAGCAAAGTATATTACTGGATATTTGTCGGTTTTGCATAAGATTAACTGAATTGCCAAGCTTAGATCAACTAAAAGAAACCAGATTTCGATTAGGTAATTATAAAGTAGCAATTTGCAAAAGAGGCGTCATTTCCTTCCTGAAGAACACGCTGAAGCAGTGATAGGTGTGCATCTGACCAAAGTATATATTCGTATAAAATTGTAAACAACAAAAGATCTACTAACTAAAAGCAATTTTGGCTTGGTCAAGTAGCAATCTGCAGAAAAGGTGTCATTTCCCCCATTTTTTTTCAAGAACAGAGCGCATCTTTTAGAGGTGCATCAGAGCCAAAAGTCACACCAGGTAAAATCTGCAGTATCGATGGACAGATGATAGATCCACGGAAACAATGTTGGTCAGGCACCGCACATCGATCGATCTGCTCAACCAACGAGCTAAACCCCTAGGTAGACATTGCGCAGTCGGAGGAGTTCACCGCTTACGAGCAACTAGTGCGAGAGGGGGAGAGGAGGAGGAAGGCCCGGAACAGAGTCGGCCGCCGGCAGCCGGGTGGCGGCAGCTCTGTGGAGAATCTCCGGCAAGACTCACATCGGCGAGGAGCTAGGGTACCGCGACCTGAGTCGGCGGGGGGCCGGGGCGGAATCGGCGGCCGGCAGTGTGGTCGGCGGCGCGGCTCACATCAGCGAGGAGCTAGGGTAGGGTTCGCAATCTTAGCCGTGGGTGGGGAAGGGAAAGAGCTGGTCCTCTTTCTCTCTCTCGCGCAGTGTTTGCTGCCGTGGGCGTGTGAACAAGTGAGCGATTCTTCACGCTTTGTGCGACCAAAATTGGCGAGTTGGAGGACATATCTTTCGGTTTTTATATGATGCATCCACTTATTTTGTCCATGTGGGACTTGTTACCTTGCCATACTAACGGCATCTCCAAAGCAGACCACAAACCGCCCGCATCTCACTACTAGGAAATGGGCTATAGATGAAATGAACACTAATGGCGTACCAGACATGTGGTGCGCCACTACTATATACTAATGGCGCGCCATATGTTGGTGCGCCATTAGTGTCCAAATACTAATGGCGCACCACATCCACGGTGCGTCATTAGTAACAAATAGTTTTTTACAAAACTACTAATGGCGCACCAGGGGATAGTGCGCCATTACTAGTTAAACTAGTAATGGCGCACCACATTCATGGTGCGCCATTAGTAAAAAAAATTCAAATTTTTTTTCAATTTTTTTTTTCAAAACTAGTAATGGCGCACCACATCCACGGTGCGCCACTAGTATTTTTTTGTCATTTTTTTCCAAAACTAGTAATGGCGCACCGTAGGAGTGGTGCGCCATTACTAATTGAACTAGTAATGGCGCACCACTCCCACGGTGCGCCATTACTAACTTGGCCCAAAAATTCCCCCGACCGCCTTTTCAGTTTTAAAAAAAATAAAAGAAAATGATGAAAATGTCAAAAAAAATAAAAGAAAATAAGTTTCCCATGTGATATGTGGTCTAGTTGTTGGAAAAATTTATAAATATGAATTTCGACTTTATTTGCAAAATCTCTCTTGAATTTGTAAAATGGGCATAACTTTTGCATACGAACTCGGATTAAAAAGTTTTTTATATGAAAAATCATCTACTCGAAAAGTTACATCCAAATTTAACGGGGGAAACCCCATTAATCATTTTCAAAATCCTCAAGAACCTAACAGAAAAAAGTTACGTGGCTTTTAAGATCTGGAGGCAAAAAATTCAAAAAATTTCAAACTTACTAGTGGCGCACCGTTTGCTAGGTGCGCCACTAGTAACAGGAAAAAAAAATAGTTTCGAATTTTTTTTCAAAAATATGATACGTAATATGAACGGAAGTTTGAAATAATTTTTCAAAATTTCATCACACTCATGAACATGAACACAGTCCTAAACATCAACAAGGTTTAATAGGATTGATATGCTAGATATATCGACAAGTAGCTGTGAACTGAGCTGGTGCTGGGGTTGAATAGAACTCTGAAGTTAAGCGTGCTTGGGTTGGAGTAGTAAGGATGGGTGACCTTTCGAGAAGTTTGACCATGGAGTGTGATTTAACCTGAGATTAAGCCATAGTGACCCGAGATTAAGAAAAAAATAAAAAAAATTGATTTTTTTTGAAAAAACATTGTAACTAATGGCGCGCTCCTATGTGGTGCACCATTACTAAGTGAGATAGTAATGGCGCACCTCTAGGCATACTAATGACGCACTACAGGTGTGCCATTAGTATCTGGTATACCAGTGGTGCGTTATTAGTAGGCAAAACGGGTGCGCCACTAGTAGGCCTTTTCCTACTAGTGTCCGTTTGGACCGCATTGTGCGGACTACGGGAACCATCGAACGCGGATTTGTATCGGTGTGCGGGGCAGTCCTGACATGATTTATTCTGCAAATCGGAGACAAAAGTGAAGGAGGTTTGCGAGAGTCCGGACACGCAAAACATATGAATCCGACACCCCTAACCCACCAAAAACCCTTCTCGGACCCAGCGACTCCATCCTCCTCATTTTCTCTCCTTCCTTCTTTCTCTCTTGCCTTCGCCGCTGCTCCACCACCCCGGCCACCACGCCACATCCCTACCGAAACAATGTGTCTTCGTCACTTCCGGCGCTCCAGCAGGGCTCCCCGCCGCTTCTCCTCTGTCTCCATTCAACCCCTGTCCTCCAACCGCGCCCCGACAGGTACCATCCTCTACTGCTATTCCTACCATACCCGACAATAGCAATGTATTCCGACTTGGAGCACATATACGACCATTTATTGAGTCGTCCGACGGGAGGAGGAGTACTCCGATGAGACGGCGATGATGCAGGCGGTCCTTGAAGACACGGAGCGTGCAGAGGAGCGTGTTCTCAATTTCAAGGGCTCGATCAAGGGTCATCGACTGCTCAACCACAACAGGGCGCACGGGTATTTGACACTGATGACCGACTACTTTTCCTTGACGAACTATTCATTGACCATTTTTGCCGGCTCTTTTGGATGCACAAGACTGTCTTCGATCATTTGTACCATGGCATCTGGTCCTATGATGATTACTTCATCATGGAGAAGGACGTCATGGGAACGATTGGCTTCTCTAGTTACCAAAAGTGCACAACCACATGCCGTTGATTTGTGGGACGAGTGCCTACGGATGTCTGAGAGCACATGCCGAGATGCCATGGTCAGGTTTGCAACTGTCATTGAGGGAGTCCCGGACTAGGGGGTGTCCGGATAGCCGAACTACCATCATCGGCCGGACTCCAAGACTATGAAGATACAAGATTGAAGACTTCGTCCCGTGTCCGGATGGGACTTTCCTTGGCGTGGAAGGCAAGCTTGGCAATACGGATATGTAGATCTCCTACCTTTGTAACCGACTCTGTGTAACCCTAGCCCTCTCGGTGTCTATATAAACCGGATGGCCTTAGTCCATAGGACGAACAACAATCATACCATAGGCTAGCTTCTAGGGTTTAGCCTCCTTGATCTCGTGGTAGATCTACTCTTGTAACCCACATCATCAATATTAATCAAGCAGGACGTAGGGTTTTACCTCCATCAAGAGGGCCCGAACCTGGGTAAAAAACATCGTGTCCCTCGTCTCCTGTTACCATCCGCCTAGACGCACAGTTCGGGACCCCCTACCCGAGATCCGCCGGTTTTGACATCGACATTGGTGCTTTCATTGAAAGTTCCTCTGTGTCGTCACCGATAGGCTCGATGGCTTCTTCAATCATCAACGACGATGCAGTCCAGGGTGAGACCTTCCTCCCCAGACAGATCTTCGTATTCGGCGGCTTCGCACTGCGGGCCAATTCGCTTGGCCAGCTGGAGCAGATCGAAGGCTACGCCCCTGGCCGTCAGGTCAGATTTGGAAGTTTGAACTTCACGGCTGACATCCGCGGGGACTTGATCCTCGACGGATTCGAGCCACAGCCGAGCGTGCCGTACTGTCACGATGGGCATGATTTAGCTCTGCAGCCGGACAGTACCCTGGAGGCCGCACTCGAACCCGCTCCGATCTTCGACTCAGAGCCGGCTGCGCAGACCAAGGATGGATGGCTAGACACCACCTCGGGGGCTGCAACCTCTACGGTGATAGAGCCGAACACCGATCTTGTCCCCCATGAAGCTCGTGACTTCGAGGTGCCGGACTCCTTGCCGGACTCCGGTCCTCCCGCGCCCCCTCCAGTCGAATCCGATTGGGCGCCGATCATGGTTCACCGCGGCGGACATCTTTCAACACTCACCTTTTGGCGACATCTTGAGTTCGCTAAAGTACCTCTCGTTATCAGGAGAGGCCTGGCCGGACTGCGGCCAGGACGGTTGGGATACGGACGACGAAGAAATTCAGA